TGGTCACGGTTACTTCTCTACCAGTCTCTCCAGCCTGAAACCCTGGCCTGCTTTTCGGAATCTGATATAACCTTCCTGAATTGCTCTAAACACATCTTGAGGCTGAACTAACTTTGATCTTTTCAGTTGGCCTACTTTCTTGACCCACACACAGAGCAGTAAATCAGTCCATCTAGAGCTCCTGCCAGGGCATTTGTTCTTTTACAGCTATTACAGCTTCTCCTCTCTGGCTGTGACAGACACACGCCTACTCCACTCAGTTGAGTTTCGAGCCATGCTATGAGGCCAGTTATCCCCCCGCTCTTGCCCTCCTTTGCCAATGTCCTCCCCTAGTGTGACACACAAACTGCGCTTAGGTCCTTCACAGCATCCTTCCCACTCCTGCTGGCTGGTGTTACCCCGTGGCCAGCGTGTTGTTTCCCCGGGTGCCACACAGACAGCCGCAGCAGCCCTGACTATGCAGGTGCAGACATTCCCAGTGGACACCATTCTCCCTGGAAGAGGGACTGTGGCAATGCTTTCTTTCCACGCAGTCTGTCAAATGGTATTTCTGGAGGTCACAGCTTGGGCGCTTCCTGTGCTAGCTGCTTTCCTGTCCCAACTGCTGGTGTTCCCCTCGCTGCTGTGTCCCCCTGATGACACAAGGATCTTCCTTGATCTCTGAGGAAGAGCTTCTCCTTTTACTACATGTTCCTACTTGCCTGAGATATTAGTTAAAGAGTAACAGATGCAACAAGAACAGGATCTAACACCATGCAATAAATATGAAAGTGTTACCAGTTGCTCACAATGTACTATTGTCCTTGATAACTCCTTCCCTTTTTCTGCAATATTCTGCTTGACCATTGTTGTTTTTACTATTAAAATACTTTCTTATTATGACTGTTTTTATTGTCTTATTTTTCTCATTAGTTAGCAGGTTCTATTCAAGTGTATCTCTTATTTTCTCCACTGTCAAAGGTACAGGCTATTCATTATTATTCCTTCCTGAAACTCACCTGCCCTGCACTATCCTCCTGCCCTAAGGAAATAGTCTTAATTCCCTGAGTTCTTATTTCCTCTCTGGATTTTGAATAATAATTATTCACCTTCTGAGCAAGAGCGAACTGTGCCAGTTCACCTTAAATCACAGTACAATTTAAATTCTCCAGTAAATAACACTGTACCAGTCTAAAAAAAAAAAAAAAAAAAAAAAAGTTAACTTTCCTTTGCAAATTATCAGCACAAGTTTCCTGGATGTGATTCAGGTTAAGGAGCACACAAGACGACTTAAATCCACCAACAGTGGATTTAAATGCATGCCTTAAACCCCTTCAGTTTTCTTTATGGACCAAGCCCAAGACCCTATAGACACAAAGTTACTTGTGAAACATTGTTGCAGTTATTGCTATTTAAATCATAAGCAATATGCCTCTTTAAGGAGAACTGTCTTGCCCACGAGTATGAAATACCCATGAAAACAAATAAACAGTGTAACTTTATATCTTAGAACATATTTTACACAGGCATCTGCAGCATTGCTTCTTGGCTAATGGCCAGCAAAACCATTAACGACAAGTAATGACACAGAAGGAAATTTTCTTTTAGTCCTGTTTTCTAATTGCTAGGAAAGAAAACTAAAAATAAGTTTGGGGGCCAGACTGCAAAAGCTGGGAGAGCTCTATTAACTTTGAGATGCTCTACGGCTTTACAGTCTTTGAAGATCTGGCTCACTGATGTCAGAGGAAAGATTAGGAACGAACCAAAAGAGACAGGTTTGACTCTAGCTATGCACTAGTTTTATTTGTATTTTAGAAAGACCTAACTATTTTTCTCTAGTTCTAATATTAGAAATTTGGTCATTAGAATTTGAACACTTTGCTCCTACTTATGATGGGTAATTATATAAGTGCTCCATCACTTTTATAATATTTAATAAAAAATTTGAGAGCAATTTTAAGTGAGCCTTTCAAACATACCCTGACCAAATCGCACAGATTCCTCTTTCTGATGTTGCATGTCTAGTCCCTGTCCATGCCCCTCCAGATATCCCATTAACTGTCCTCATCTCACACAATTTGTATCTGTCCAGTTCCACCCAACAACATGTTCATTAAATCTTCTTAAAGAGGAAATGCTGAATTTGGAGCTCACAGTAATTCCTCTGTATAATCTCTCTCCTGTGCCTTCCTTTGAAGATGGGACACTATCCCTTCTTCACCCTCCTCTTGGGTTTTCAGTTTCCCTTCAACACTGTCCCCAAGGATTGCCTCCAGTTTATATCACCTACCAGCCAATTTTGGAGATCCTACCTCCTCCTGACTCTGTGACACAGAAGCAGGTCCCACACCTCTGTCACCCTACTCTGTGCACCTATGTCACCTATTCTGTGGCCTCAGGCCCATGTCACATGAGCACAGGTTTTGCCCTCAATTAAATTTCATGACAACTGGGTAGCTCACAGAGCAATTTAAGACCTGATTTTGTATGATAACTCTCTTTCTTAAAATAATGTTTTCATTGAGATTTATGATATGTCAATATAACTTGCTATAGGACTGAGATCTCATACAACGCTTGTATTTAAAAACTATGTGGAGCACTTCCTCTTTTGGTGGAGCTGGGTTTATTTATTGATTTTCAGGTACAGAACTGCAGTTCATTACTTGTTCAGCATTGGTACAAAAGCCAAATCCTACTCTCTTTAAATAACATGCCACTGCTTTCATAAAAGGAAGTTGTATAATTTCTCTGGCACAATGAGGAAATGCAAACAGAAGTTAAGTTTCATAAAGCTTGATACAATTTCAGTATAGATGATTCATTGTGACTAGCTAATCATAAGAGCTGCAAAAACAAGACAAGGGGGAAGGGGCTTTTATTTTTTTCCTCTTCTAGCACTTTTCAAATTTGTTCATTTAGATACTACCTGTCCTGAATCAGAAATCCATTGTAAGAAATGTAAATTCATAATTTACACTTGAAATTTTTTTATGGACCAGGACATCCAAGCTTAACAGTAATATAAAAAAGAAAAAAGTAAATTCCTACCTCCCTGACTCTTTCAGTAGCATTTACAGACCTTGATTTGGGTGGTTAAGCAAGCACTGAATGGAGGAGACAGAGGGAAACTTGAAGAAAACATGACTGAAGACCATACCTTCCTGCTTCTCCTACCACCAGGGAGACCCACCATTGGGACTGGAGCGTGAGAACACAGAGACATTGGTAGGGAGATCAGTACAGAGCTAATCAGTAGGAAGGTTGGAAGGTCACAGGCTCCAGTTCCCCTGGTTATTTCTGCTTTCTTTTAGCAAATGCTTCTCTGTACAACAGATAAGCAGATGCCCTGCAAAAAGCTGTGAGAAAAACACAGGGCCTCACTTTCCTGCTAGCCAGCAGGCTACAAAGTTAGGCTCCCTTTACCTTTTATCCCAGTTCCTTGCTTCCTATCTGCAGTGCTGGTCCAGCTTCAGAGTGAAGAGTGGTTCACTGATTTGGGCACTCTCTAACAAGATGGGACTGGGGAATGGAGGTTAGATGTGTTACAGTGAAGCCTCCCACTGGCTGAACCACAAGAATATTGTGTATGTTCCTGCCATCCCGCATTTACAAATAAAAGGCATCCTGACAGCACCCCTGCCTAAAGAGTCCTCTGGATTTGTACGTACCAGGATGACTCCTTTATTCATCCAAAACAACTGTAAGTGGGTGATAAGTGCCTACATGTTGAAACTGGTTGAAGTAGCAGGAGATACGGACCATTACAGCCACTGACCTTAGAAACTTTTGCAGAACCAAAACCTGAGATGCCAAGAGATTCCCAAATGCTGAAAATTTCCACCAAAAGTCCTTTTGACTTAAGTTTAGGCATCTTCAGTGACATTTAGGAGATCTAAAAATGCCTCTCTGTTTTTTTCAACTCTGTCCTGGAATATCTCAGCTACCCTGAGGTCAAAAGCTCTAGACAAGTTGAAGTTACCAATCTGGGCACTTTGGTGTTTCTTTCTTCTGGATGCAGGCCATAGTACAGCACAGAGGAAGACAGTATCAGCTTCCACCCATAGCATTGCATGTGCTCAACTATTGTCATTTAAATCCACGTCCAAACCTCTACAAAGATCATGTTCCCCTCTTTCCAGCAGTGTTCTGTTGGAAAGATAGCTTGATATAAACATATAAGAATTTGAGTCTTCTCTGAGCCACTAAGTACCTTGATACAGCGCTTGAAAGTGATACGAGAACAAGTGCACGAGTCCCAGAAGGAAAATTGTGGTTGATTCGTATAAGAGCATTGTTATTTTCTCTGGAGCAGTACACAAAGGGCCCCAGAGATGCAAACATTGCTCTTCTCTGCTCCTCATATGGCTAATGGCCTTGCTGGTGCCATTGTTTCTGTCTCTTCTTCTGACTCATAGCCCTCTATTTCTCCCACAGTGTATCTAGACTTTGGCATTAGAGCTAGATTGTCTGCTCTGGTTAAACGATGCTGGCTGATTAAATTTCCTCTTCGACCTGACAGATTGGGTGGGCCTGCTTGTCTATCCAAGCGTGTCATTGGAATCAGCTCTTCCTGGCCGTGCTTTTCTTCAAGTGGCCGTAGTCGAGGCTGGGATCTGATCATCACTGGGAAGGCAGCATCAGAGCCACTTCTGCGGTGATCTGAAAGACAATAGACAAATAATTCATGTTTTGAAGAACAGAAAAGAGAAACACCATGGTATTGGCAAGGACAGCTGAATATTCAATACAATACAGCATTATGGTTTGAAACCTTGGAACCGAAGCATTTAAAATAATTTCTATAGAGTAAGAGAGCAGTCAAGAACTAAAAATAAACCTAAATTTTTATTTTCATCCCAAAGCTGAGGTTTCTTCCCTCTACCAAGAAACCCCAATGAATAAGTACATTCATCTATCTTTCAGTGCCTCGCAGTGCTGCTTAATTCCTGCTACACAGGGCTCCTTTATGTAGATTTCAATTTTCTACAAATTTCACAAGTCTACCTAATCCCATAGTTGAAAAGCATTGTGAAACCCACAGCAGAAGACAAAAAGTGACCAAGGAGAAGACTCTAGTGCCACCGAAAGCCAAGTTTACCAGTTACCTATGATTAACAACTGGGAAGAAAACAGTTTCACCTGAAACCAGGAGTTTGACTCTAGGGCGCTTTGATTACATTGGGTGTGTCAGAGCTGCTCTTACCAGCTTGCTTTGCTGCAAGTACTCAATAAAAATTTCCTACAATAGGCCGATAACTGATTCTCTCATTCCGTTGAGTTTACTGAATATACTTTTTCATTTTTCTTAAAACCACTTGTAGTCTAACTATGCACTAGCAAATCAGTTAATTTAAGAAACGGCTCATAACAAGCTAGGAGGTTTTGGGAGATAAACACAAAGGTCCATGAATAATAAAATTGGACTGTATCATGCTGCAGTTAAAACACATGTGTATTTGGTATAGTTAAAATTTATCAAGTTATTGAAGTTTAATAACTATTAAATTATTTTAAGCTAATGTTTACTTCAGAGTTTGCTCGAAGTACAAGTGCATGCATCAGCACTTACCTCCACTGAACAGGGACACAGGTTTCTTTAACAGCAGAATCTGCTTCTGTTAGGCCATGTGGGCATATCACACCACGAGCAATAAAATAGGAAAGGTGTTCTCAGATTTTCAGGGCTTCTACTTAGCCCTTTGGGGGCATCACTGCTATGAAGTATGAGTGATATATACTGTCAAATAAATCATTAACTTGTGTGCTAGGCAGCTTAAGGACCTATTTATAGTCACTTCTGACCTCTTAGTTACTAAACTTTCTGCACATGCTATATATAGGAGCTAAACCAAACTTGCTGGAGAATGCTTGTTCTAGGAGGTCTTGCAGGCATAGACAGAAGAGATGTCATGTATCTCTGTAAACGCATGTGTGCACACATGAGGTTGTCATTCTAATTTCCTATGTACTGTGTATTTCCCTTCTCAGTTCCCAAGTGCAATTAATCCAGTTGTAGCACAGTTTACTAGAGGAGTTTAGGGTGGCTTCCTCCTGCTGCAGACATTTAAAGTGGTGTGAATGCTACACAATGAACCTAAGATGGGCCCAAAAGCTGGACTCAGATGTCTAATTACTTGCATAGATCACAAGTCAGGGCTCAAATTCAGGCCTAGGTATATATACTTGCATTCACTGCTTCAGGATTTACCTCTCCCCAGTGAAGTAATATGCCTATCTGCTATAGCAGGACTTGGTCCCTCAAAAGCGTTCAAAATGCTTTTGGGTCTGAGGCTGCTGTGTAGAACAATTGGAATCTTTTAGAAAGACAGGTATCCCCCACCATGACATCCTGACAAACCGAACAGAAAACAATCATCTGTATGGGGAAAAAAAAAAAAAATCCCCTTGAGTAACTTTTATTTTCCCCTCTGATAGATCCCATGGTTTTCTGTTTTGCCTTCACCAGGTGTGAGTGCCCAGCCCCAAGGGGATTGTTTGCCTACACAGATCTCTTTTTCTTTTATCTCTTTCACAGTAAAACAGAAAGGCAAGAAAGAAAATAATTTTGCACCTGCAGGAAACAAACTTTGTTGTCCAAGTTTTTGATACAAAGATGAAGATTAAAAATATGGTTTCAATTGCTGTAGTTAATTTTGCCAGAAATAAGAAGGCATTTTTCTAAGGAACATGAATGCCTTTCAGGTTCACATAAACAAACTCATAAAGAAGTCAGGGAGATTACAGATGGCAACAATGATGAACATTGAAGTGTCCTAAATTCCACGTTTTCTGTGATACTGTTCTGCTGTGCTTCCTTGGGTAATACAGTGTTGTGTTACTCCACCCCTAACCTCGGTTTCCTTACTTAGAGTGTAAGTGAGGATGGGTCTGCATTTTACTGTGAACATATGATAACCTGAAACTGGCTGATAACTTTACCCAGTAATACCAGTTTTACTACAGAAATGTTCATAGAAAGCAAGCTGGGAACAGGGGAGAAGAGACCAGCTGCTTGGGGACAGACTCTGCCAGGATCTTTTGTTAAGTTACATGATCAGAGGCTCATCTCCATAAACACAGAGGAGATCCGAGGCACAAGGGCAAGTGGAGAGGCCTCCAGTACTCCAGTCAGAGGAATGGGCCTGAGCTCCTGCCCTGATCCATCATGGGGTTGATCAGACCCGTGGGCAGGGTGAGACCCACCATGATGAGCCAACGGAGAAGCTTTCCCTGGGGCACCTGTTAGAGTAAGGTGGTGGGATACAGTGCTCGTTATTGGGGTGTCTGGGGAGAGCATTTTGGGATCATACAGGGCTTATGATGGGATGCTCAGAGCAGGAACCAAAGGCAGGGAAAGAAAGGGATTGGGGTAGTCTGAGGGGCAACAAGTGCAGAAAAATAGAGGAAAAAGGGGATAAAAAAGGTTGCTCACATGAAAACTGGGGCTGGTGAGTCTATTTGTCTGGCAATACTCTGTGTCTCATCAGTGCAGTCTGTCCTGTTTTCTCATTAAACTCTACTTCTGACTGTTTTCCCAGGTGAACAGCTCCCTATACTGTGTGCATATGCATGTGGAAGCCTGAGTGCCAGCAGCTGGAGGGACTGGGGTGCATGCATGTGTCAGTGCAAAGCCACTAGCAACCACCAAGCCAGAGGAGCCAGCAATAAAAGGCTTGAGAACCACATACTGGAGCAACCATCAGTCTGGGACAGAGACTGGGGCGAGTGACTGAAGAGACCATAAGGTCCATGGCTGGCTACTAGTAAAGCCATGATCTGGACCCGATACCAAAGAGACAAGTTTGCATGTGTGTGTCCCTGTGGATGAGGCAAGAAGAAACCAGGGGATCCAGGAGCCTGACACAAGGAAGACTGGCTGTCCAAGGCTAGCTACTGGGGGGATCTATAGCGCTTGGGGTGTGGTGGAAGAACATCTGTGCATGCATGGGTGTGTGTGTGCATGTCTGAGTACCAGCAGCTGCCATGAGGCTGTGTCCCCAGGGGCTCACATGCCCAAGTGCCACCAAATGGGCAGATAGAAGGTTCAGGGCCAGCTACTGGGCAAAGGGTGTATCTAAGGTCAGCTATTTTCCACTAACAGGTTAGCATCCTGGTGAGCCAGGGAGGGGACCAGGATGACACCGTTGGTGCTGTTTGCATTTGTGTGAGCACTGTGCCCTGTCTGTGCTGCTCTGTGTGTCTGGCCATGTGTACATGTGTACTGAATTACGGTGGCAGAGGGGTGCCTGTTGGGAATATCTGCTCAGCCTTGCTACCCGTGGGACCTGGGGTCATGGAGCTGCACCAGGCTCGCCTCGACTGGACTATGGGTTCAGCGGCTCCTAACAGTTTTGTATGCAGTTGTTTTTGTGGGGCTGCAGGGAACAGATAATTTGCTTTCTTGGGCTTAAAGGAATGCCCTCATGACCAGGCCAAACTGCAGGGATCACAGGAATATTTGTGCAAGAGGGAAAAAGAAAAAACAAGGCGGTGCTGGAACGAGAGAGAAACTGCTGCAGTAATGACCATATAAACAACATAGATAAAAAAGATAGGAGAGAAGGGTGTAGCTCATTTAAAGAGGCCAAGGACTTCCATGGGAGTATTAATTCAGTACTGTTAAATCCACTGACCAACTGGCCAAGTTTTTTTCACAGCTGGAGTAGGGTACAGAGTAAAGCACTTTCATTACCTGTAAAAGTAACACGCCTGGCTTTTCGTCTAGAGGGCTGGCTGGGGCCCTGAGGCAAAGAGAGATAGCGTACTTCCGTGGTGCTAACCTGTATATGAGACAGAAATGTGTTCAATGCCCATGATTGCCTCCACAATTTACACTTACTTGGTGGTATGCTAAAGAGGGATACTTATATTCTTTTTTCTGTTGTGCCTCTGCACCTTTACAGCCAAATTTAGAGATGTGAGTAAGATCAATGCTTAACTTGGATGGCTGAACTCAATGTCAGCTCCAGTGAAAATGTCTGTGTTTGATATAAATAACTCTAGGGTTTGTTTCTTTTTTACAGTCAGCAGAGAAAAATATCTTCTTCTAAGATTCACCTTTCCTATTTCAGGTGACAACTTTAAATAAAATTAATATACCTAGCAAGAACTTATTTCTCTTCCTTGACTGTGATCATCTCAGCTGTAAATGTCTATGGTATCCAATGCCTACATTTGGTCACACAGATCTTACTCTTACTGATTAAGAGCCCAAACTGTCAAGGTGTCAAGGGCTTTGCATCAGGCCTTTTGTGATTATACTGTGTTTTGCACATGCCAAAACTATGCAAGTTACATTATTTTACTACTTACAGCCATAGAACCTGAATTTTGACCAATGTATAGAGGTAAAGCATAAAAATTTTGCTGTCCACGTGCTAAGTGAAGGTCTTTCCTCTTAGGTGCTGCACAAGGACACTGGGGAAAATATCCATCTTAATGATTGCAAAAATCATATAAAAAATAGGTGTCTCTTTCCTTATTAACAGAGAAGCAGGGGCATTTTTTACATGAATAGTAGTTTATATAACAGGTACCGGTCTACCCCAAGGTAAGCTGTTTCCCTTCCTGCAACTCTGCCTCAGGCTGTGCTGCCGACGGATGAGGATTTCTTGGGCTTGTTTCTCATTTGTGTTGGCAGGCAGGTTGTGTCGGTTGTATGTTGGGGCCTGAAACAGAAAATGTACTCAGCTGATTTTCTTTGCACTTGCAATGTTAATACCTTTGCACAGTCTGGTCAATCACAGGGCCAAGGGGACACCTGCCCCAGCTCAGCCATCGACTCACCACAGATCTCTTTGGTATCATGTGGAAAAATGCAGCCTTGCACTAACCTTACTCTTGCCTGCTCAAAGTGCTAAAAATACACCTAGCCACATGAGACCATTAACATCTCTGGCCTTGTTCTCCCTTTATCATCCTTCTTCTCATCATACAATTGAGAGGTACAGATCTGAGGCAGGTCCCAAGAGAGACGTAGCTAGTTAACCCATCTCTGAACCTTGGCACTAATATTACTGAGCCAGGAGCAAGTTGCAGATGTGCTTGGGAGCAAAAGACTATATTAAGAAGAGTGCATCTCTAGAGTGAGATGCACAGCTGAGTTTCCTTTCCATACTTGGACAAACTACACCTTAATATGAACCTAAAACATCTTTAATGACAAGCCTTTAAATTTATCGCATACATCTAGTGAAATGAGGGAAATAATTATCTGCCTTAAGAAGAAAAATTCACTTCAGTTTATATGGCCTCTTGAAACGCAGAATCTGATCTCAGTCTCACTTGCAAGGGTCCTTGTAAAGTTGGTCTGATGAGCCAGAGCGTTACCAGGCCTTCAGAGTTGAAAGTAAAGTATTAGAAGTGGCATTATTTTACTTCTGATCTTTCATTTCCGCAAGCACACAGTTCTCGATAACACATAGGAAGTGACTGGTACAAACAGTCATTACTGTAATTGATTTTGAAGAGGGAGAGTTCATTTCAGTAATCTAAGAGACAGCCATATATGGAAATTGTTGCTGGTAAGATAAGAAATTAATATCATAAGGATAATTGGCCATGGCAAATCAAACAATATTAGCAATTAAAATCATATTAATAATGCCACACTTAAATGAGCAGGGACTAGCATTTTCTAGCAAATGTGTGTTACAGAAGTTAGCCTCACTCATCTGTATGATTTCAAGGTTAGTGCAATATATCCTCTACCACTCACTGCTGTATGAGAGCACTCAGTTGTACATTCTGGGCCCAAGATTGGATTAAGTAGATATTATACATTGGGCTGGATCAGAATTAGTACAAACTTCTGCAATACAATTCCCTGCTGAGGTATTATCATCCCCATTTTAGGAGGGGAAAAAAAATTTCAAACTACAGAAACCCAAAAGCCTGTAAAGTGAAGCTCCAGAGGAGGTGGAATATATATATTTTTTTTTCCTTTCTCCTCCTATGGCGATGGTAAACTGTGACTCCCACACAGCCCAAGGATTTACCAGCCCAACTCTCAGCTGACTTTGGGCTACGCAATGTTTACCACAGCTGGTCCACCCACCTCCACAGAGAAGTTTCACTGCTGCTGGCGACCTGCCAGCCTGCTGCCTCCCACAAAGCCCTGCATCCCTCCCCGGATGCTGGGTAGCCATCTGCCCAGCCTCCATCCAGCCCACTGGCCCACAGGCCACCCTGCCAGCCGGCTTCCACCACGCAGGTTGTGGGTGGCCCCAGGGAGAGGACCTGGGACCTCAGACTCCCCCGGGCATATTTGGCAGCCTCAGGAAGGTGGTTTCTGAGTCACAGGTAACTGTACAGTGAGGGAAGCCTGACCTCTACAGCTCCATCACAGATTTTCCTGGCTTTTTGTGCTGCCATCAGAGTGAAAAGGTGATGTTAAAAACCTGCTTTCTTTTTTTACACCCAGAAAATATCCCTGATCCAGGGCTCCTTCCCCTCCTTCTCTTTCTGGGCCCACCTCTCCCACCAGTGTGACCCCAGGGCCGGGCTGGTCCTGGTGCTACCACCCGCCGTGGCTATGATATGGGGAGGGCAAACAAGAGCTTTCAGTCTGCAAACAGCGCACAATAGCAGGTCGCTTACACACCCTTTGTCGCACTTGATAGAGGTTATGTGCCAGGACATCTCTCATGGACTCCACCTCTGCGGGGGAGAGCCTATGAACACGTCGATTTCTACTGCTCCTGTAAATAAAAGAGAAGTTTAAATGTCACATTAATTATTTGATTAAATACTATTCCCACTAAATGATGCATGATCTATTTTTATTGCTAGAAGAGGAGGCTATGAAGACTTCAGTGACTAGTGACACCACGAAATCATCCAAAGATGAATAAGAAAATGTCAGATTTTGCTCTTTCATGGGTTTTATCAATATACAGGGTAGTCAGAATGGGCTGTAAACCCTCATGCAGCTGGCAGAAGAAACTATCTTTTTCTTTCTCAAAGCTTCATAAGGAAGTTTTTATTTAAGGCTTAGATCAGGCAACAACCAGCTGTACATGCCAGAAGGCTCTGCAAGTTTCCTCCTCTGTCTGAATACATTGTTCAGTATGGTCTAGCAGTCTGGGCCTTGCTCTCCTACTGATTTTAACTCCTTTGAGAAAGAGCAGCAAATCCAATTAAGGAGTCTGAGAGACCTGCCCTGTGGTGAAGAGAACGTCTAGCGTTTCCTTGCTACTGAGCCTGCTTCTCCATTTAAAATGAAAGAGCAACCTAGAAGATAGTAATCTTCATATTTTTAACAACCTGTGACAAGAAGCCCATAGTGACTTGTAGTTGCCTGGCTTTTTTACCAGCGAAACAATAGAGGAGGGCTGCTGTGAGATGTTAACTGGTTTTGCTAAATCGGTCAGTCTGTGTGAGAGTTAGTGTTCAGCTGAATTCCCAAGAAAAGAATGGGAAATAGATAGCGATCATCCAGGATGAATCAGTCTGAGTTCATTCTTGTTCTTTCTGGTTTTTTTTCTTTCTCCATTTTGTTTTCTTGCCTCCTTTTAAAAAAAATATGTCACTGTAAATCTTTGTTCTCACCTAAGTGATGCCCTTAAAGAGCTGTCTGTAAAATGTGCAATTAAAAAATGGGTTATGATCTATGTACAGTATTGCCAAAGCTTTGTGTGTATTTATTTTGTACTTCCTCTAAAATAAATTAAAATCTTTTAAAGGCAATTTTTTTATTCAAGCTAAACTGAGATTGTGCTGTAAACATAGGAAAAAAGTTGGAATTTGTAATTACAGCTAGTTTAGCAAGATTATCACTGTTTTGTGCTATAAGCTAACATGAACATCTTGAAAAATTGTAGGACCATCACAAGCTGCCTGGATTCTACATTTTACTGCCGCTTACCCTGAAGTAGACAGTGAGCACTGGTGGCCTTGCCCTGGCCAAAATCCCTGGAATATAAGAATTAATTCCTGATATATTTCAGGGTTTCAAAATGTGTTTTCATTCTGTATCAGATCAAAACTGAGATCTGCCATGTTTTCAGTGAGGAAAAAAGAAAGAGAAAAATTGACAATGTGCTAAGGTGTGGAGTTAGAGGTAGGGTTGGAACAGAATCATAGAATCATAGAATCATAGAATGGTTTGGGTTGGAAGGGACCTTAAAGATCATCCAGCTCCAACCCCCCTGCCATCAGCAGGGACACGTTCTACTAGGAGGAAGATTAAGGATCCTTAACCAATAGGTTAAGGATCTCACTGAGACATGGAAGACCCATGAGTTTACCATTCAGCTATTGGCAAAGCAAAGTGAGAGAAAAGGACTCCCTTTCTGGATTTGATCAGAAACCTATCCTGGCCCTGATAAATCCTTCCTAACAAATGTTTATTTGACATTCATCAATTCTTGACAACAGCAACAACAAACCTAGGTATTTACCAGTGCGGGAAAAGACTATCACCACCACCAAGTTCCAGGCCAGATGCGTGCGTTGGTTGATTGGTTTTTCACTTGCTTTCAGCTCTCAGGGATAGCACAAAGAGGATCCAGGGATGATACCAAGTTTCCAGGTTTAGGTGTAATGCACCATTATTCCACATTGGGACTGGCGTGTCCCAGGCTGTGGGACAGCCCATGTATGCTACCTTCCACAGCAAGGAAACCAGCCATTTTGCTGTCAGCAGCTCCTAGCTGCTCTCCCTTTGGACAACAGAGAGACCCTGGGTACAACTGGGAAAGCAAATACAAGTACAGCCCCTGGGAAATAATGGCAGTCTAGCCTGACAACAAGTAATATTCTATAAAATTCAGGCTTGGCTCATTTGTGTAACACAAATTGAACTGGCATAGTTGATACAAGCAGCTTTGACATCATAGAGAATAACTGTCTCTCTGGTCCCCACTTCACTAAATGTCTCCACGGGGTCTTTATACCTTACAGTTGGGAATAAATAGAGGAAAGCAGCTAAACAGGGGAAAACAGAACTCCACTGGGAAGTAAACAAATCATCTCTTTCCTTTCCCAGTCGCACACCTGGTCCCCTCCACATTCCAGCACAGAAGTGGCATAAGTCATTTAAAGGCTTATTGTTTGGCTCTTAAAGTGACATAAACAGAATAAACAAAATAGGTCCCTGAGTTCCAGCTAAGCTGGGATACCAAGAGAACAAACAGCATGAAGATAGTTTGTATTGTTCTGGAGCACAAATAAAAAATGTGTATTCTTTTCATGGGGTTAGATATTAATTTACCCAACTGATAACAAAGCACAGATACGGTAATAAGGAACAGATTGCTTTTACATTTTGCAATTTTTACATTATGCAGAATACATCAAAAAAGAACTTAAAAAAACCCAGATAAGTGTGATACGTTACCATTTCTTTGTTCTTATTGAAACTTCCAGCATGTGACAAAAAAGCACAGCACAGGAGATACATTTGAGAAGAAAATACTGGAACGATAAAATGCCATGAAAACTGACCACCTCTCTGTAATGAGTACTATGACAGTGCCTCTTTCTTCTTTAGACATGGAGATAGTTGATATATGGAGGAATAAAATGCCTTCCACAAACCTTGTAAGATTATTTTTATATATTATATCTAAAACTCTGAACTTTCTGAACTCTCCACCAATCTTCACTAGTCCTGTGAAGGAAGTAACATTCATCAGGCACAGCTCTTGCACAACTGCACCACCACAAATGACGACACAGCACTTGATTCTGATCTATACTGTATTCATACATTCTAAGACTTACTCTCACTAAAGTCGGTATTGCAGTAATACGAAGCCAACATTAAGTAAGTTCAGCATCAAACGGTTTCTCTCTAATGGGTATGTTTCCTCCAGAAACCAGCCATACAAATGCAGTTTTGATAATGTCTGCCTGGCTCTGCTTTTGCCATTTCTGTCCTTATTTCTAAGGCTTATATTCTCCAAAACATCATAACAAAATGCTCTGTTTTCATTCAAATGTGGATTCTTTGTTACGCAGTCCATGGGCAATTTTTTCCAGTCTGCACTGGAAATATTCACTGCATATTGTGCACCCACTCCACCTGCAGGAATCACACCAGTATGAATGCAGTTCCTGAGAATAATGCTAATTCACAGCAATGGAGATCTGCTTCCATTGTTATAGAGCATTTCCCCTCAAGTACCTAAAGGCTGCAGAACTGGTCAGAAGTGCAGTGAGAGAGTTTTCTCACTGCTCTGCCACTGCAAATATTACTTTACAAGCCATACATTGGAACTGGATTTCAAATCTCCACTTGCTCATGGCTAGATTTTTATATCCTCCTTGAAGACAGGGACTTTAGGTACAAGCTATCTCAATAATAATAATTTACAAATACATTTTAAAATGTTTTAGTCTTAAGCAGGTTGACTTAATTGCTCAGGAGAATGGAGATATAAGAACCTCTGCATTGTCTCAGACCAAAGATCCAACAACTAGCTCACTATCCTGTCTCCTCTAGTGCTCAACACCAGATGTCTTTCAATGAACAGAGTTGGGAAAACATATATTTTCCAGGAACACAGAATCGCAGAATCACAGAATCACAGAATGTTAGGGATTGGAAGGGACCTCAAAAGATCATCTAGTCCAATCCCCCTGCCAGAGCAGGAACCCTCTCACAGCCTTCAAGAATCGAAATGTTTCTGAGCCACAGGCTGCACTCTGTTTTTTGAAGTTGACAGTTCATTTTTAAAAAGGCTGTCTCAGTAGGACAACCTGTGCATCAGAAGTAGATGCACAGTAAAATTCAATTACAGCTGGGCTAGAGATGGCAAAGATTAGTCCATCATATCAATTGTTTATTATAGATAAATTCTCAGCTCTGGTGAGAATTTCTGAACTACGCTGAAACAATTTTTCTTATTTTCTTTTTCCTTCAAGAAAAGAGGAATGTGGTTTGATTGCCATAGATTGTCTACCAACCTTGCACATTTTCTCTTGGCTCAGAACAGTTAAGGGAATACAGCAGACAGAAAGGAGCCGGACAGACATGCAATCTTTTTTAATATAAACCATTCAGCAAAGATTGATTTAGAATTAAAAGGGCTAGGTCTCAAACTGCATGCTGACATCAGTTTCAAGAAAGCAGATGAATCTTTACATGATTAAGCCAAAGTTTCAAGAGAGATTTTAATTTAATGTCGGTTAAATTGATATTCGGATTTTCCATTATGGGTTGAGATGATCATTGAAAAAATAAAATATGCAGAGCCTTTCCAGAGGCTGCTGCAAAATGGACAGGGCTGAAGGATGCAGCAGCAGCAAGCAGGCAGCAGCAGTAACAGTGGCCAGTGGGACCCCAGGAAAGAGTTTGTGAGGGCAAGTGCCATTAACAATACCCATCCTCTGGACAGTGGGTTGCAAGGTGAGGATAAATACGTGCACAGCAGATAAAGTATGCAAGAGTGATAATTTGTACAGACTTCTCTCCTAGAGGGTAGTTCCCTCAGTGGTGGGTCTGGAGATCCCACCGGTTTTCTCCCCTGATCTGCCTGATGCCAATTGCATTACTGTTTCATAGGATCATAGAATCGTAGAATGGTTTGGGTTGGAAGGGACCTTTAAAGGTCATCTAGTCTAATGCCCTGCAGTGAGCAGGGACATCTTCAACTAGATCAGGTTGCTCAGAGCCCCATCCAATCTGACCTTGAATGCTTCCAGGGATGGGACTTCTGTCACCTCTCTGGGCAACCCGTTCCAGTGTTTCAGCACCCTCATTGTAAAAATTTTCTTCCTTATATCTATTCAAAATCTACCCCCTTTTAGTTTAAAACCATTACCCCTTTTCTTATTGCTACAGTGCCTATTAAAAACGCTGTTCCCATCTGTCTTACAGGTTCCCTGTAAGCATTGAAAGGCTGAAATAAAGTCTCCCTGGAGCCTTCTCTTCTTCAGGCTGAACAACCCCAAGTCTCCCAGCTTCCTTTCCTCATGGCAGAGGTGTTCCAGCCCTCTGGTCATTTTTGTGGTCCTACTCTGGACCCCTCCAACAGTTCCATGTCTTTCTTGTGCTGAGGACTCCAGAGCTGGATATAGTACTCCAGGTGGGGTCTCACCAGAGCAGAGAGGCAGAATCACCTCCATTGATCTTCTGGCCACACTGCTTTTGAGGAAGCCCAGTGTATGGTTTGCCTTCTGGGCCTTCTGGGCCAACGTGAGTGCACGTTGCTGGCTCATGTCCAGCTTTTCATCGACCAGTACCCCCAAGTCCTTCTCCACAGGATTGCCCTCAATGTTTAATTGGACAAATTTGCTACAGAAGTGCCAAAATATGGCACAATATTTTGAGGGACTGCAAACCAAAGTAGCAAAAATTGCAAAAGCTACAAGGCAATCTGCTCTGAGCAAAAATTTGTAATTGGGATAATGGAGCCAGGACCTGTGCTCTAAACTCTCCTGCAGGTCTCTCAGTATCTAGCAGTGATGAGCAAAACCCACTGGCCTGCTAAGTGATGAGTATGGCCGCTTTGAACTACTGCTGTGATTTAAAGCAGCCGCAGTGACTTCTGTGCCTGACTCGTGGTTCCTCTTCAGAAATGGCCATTATTGAAGAGAAAGAGAAAATGTCCTTGGGTTTACTTTTCACTCTGAATCTTTGTTTAAAGATCCAAAGGGCAAATATTATAAGTACCAAATTGCCAGCACAAAACAACAACTTCTCTTTTCATAACTGTCCTTTTTTTTCTTACATTCCTATTGAAGTAATAAAATCCCTTCAGTATTTCATAATTTTTGTCCCCTTCCTTCATGTCCCTACTCTACAAAGGGTCAGGAGGTCAGTACTTACTCTAATGAAGCTGTGGATGATTTTGAAATTTTCATGCCACTCTCAGCCATCTCAATGGCCTGTTTTATCTCCATCTTTTTGTACAATGACACAATGCTAGATTTGGGCTGGTGTTCCCGAATTAAGATTTTCTTCAAATACTTATTGTCAAACTTCTTAAATCTGCAAAAGAGATATTAAAATCAAAGTGTAAAAAAAAGGATATGTGTTTTTATTTTATTTCTGTGGTACAAGTTGGTCTTCATTCAAATGCACACACATATAATTCAGTGGTAGAAACTGAATCCAAATTGGAGGCATCTGTCGACTCCTGAAGGCCTAGCGAGCGGAGACCTTTAGGGGGACATTTGGCATGGTCTGCTGGTCCACAGAGATTGCAGACCCCACCAGACAAAAGCAACAAACAAGCTGCAATCAGAACAAAAAAGAGAGAGGGATGTATGTTTGCATATAACACCGCCACATTTGTCAGAAAATAATATGGCCAGTCTCCACGCTTTTGTACAAAGGTTGTATTCTGGTAGGACACAACAGCAGCTGCTGCTCTTACCGTAATCCTGGCCTATTCAGCCAGCCACCAATGAGGCTTTAAATGGCCCAGTGGTTACAAGTAGTTTGGGCCCATTATGTTGCTGTTAATTTTGAATCCTGACAATTAGAGCAGAGAAAATACATTTCTTTGTATTCTGAATAACAGAGAAATTGAATGGACCACAAAATACTATGTACTCACAGGCTGCAGACTGTAAAATATCGCTAATGTGTGGTGTATGGCATAATTTGAATTTGAATGTGTGTGTGCCCGTGCCTTGGAACAGGTATGTGATTTCAGGTAGACATTTAGCAGAACAACAGTAGGTCTTCTTACATGTTTCTTTCAAACGAACAGTTCACCACAGCAGGGTAACATGCTCCACAATGCAAGGAAAAGGACTACAGAGTTTGGACATTTTTTCTTAACAAAGGTTCGTTTTTATGCATTAATAATAGAGATAGATACACAAATGTTTCCACTGGGATTAAAGTTCTTTATGTTTGTCTGTGTAACATAAAACCTCTTGGAGTGTCATCACTTAGGCTATTAATTCTGATATACATATGCTAAACGTCCTTAAAGTTGCATAGCAAAGTCTAGGGAATAGCTTTTAATACAATCTTCTTACATGAAATATCTTCACATACAGTGTGTTTTTTTGAATCTACCCCTCAACTGAAACACTGTATTTTATGGCTAGTTTGGACAAAATTCTCTTTGTGAATTCAAAATTCACATCTACCCCATAGCCTTTGGGTAGATGTGATGTAAGGGAATAACATTTTCTCACAAATATGTGTAAATGCAGCTATTTCAATGGAATTACTGCTCCAACAGGGAGCAGTGAAGTTGTTTAGCTTATTGACTACACAGACAGTGATGTGGTCCCACCAGATGTCCTAAAGCTATCTTTGTACTGTGAGAGCCAAGGGGATATTTTAGTTTCTGGGTCCAGATATGTGCCCTGGCACATTACATCATTAACTCCTCATTGGGACAGGAACTAGATGCAAACCAGCTACCTTCTTCCCACTCTTAATTCCTGATTTCCATAGGGAGAAACTCAGCCATGAAAGGAGTTGCCTCATGTCCTGTCAGACGCCCCCTGGCTGGATTACTAGGGTCCCATGCTGAAAGGTGGGACAGAAGACCCCAGCACTGAAGTCTAAGCATAGCTAGGATAACTAGGGATAACTTTTAGCCCAGAGTATCATAGTAAGATGTTTGTGGGAAAGGAAGATTAGTCTCTCCCCACACCTCCCTTCACATGCTGCGGTAGTGGCCAACATGGTCACAGGGCTGCCTTAGGGAAAAGGTAAAGAGGACATCAGCTCAGAATGGCAGGTCTATCTCATCTGGGCAGTGCCTGGAAGAGCCACAAAGCTTCACAAAACCACCTCATTCTGCTTATAGAAGACACAATGCAGGTCCTGCGTTTCTGAGTCAAGACTGGTTGAAAGTATCTGCTTATGCTACTGGATATTTAAATTCAACCATTCCCTTCAGTGCTCTTATTTTAAATATGACTGAATGTAAAGACCTGTAAGGACAGGTGACTTATTATTATTGAATCTGTATTCATCAACAAGGGATCATATTTGCTGTGGAGGCTTACAGCAGAAGTCAGTGAAGCACTGACACCTTATGTAGCTTCTGTTCTAAATCCAGACCTAAAGCAACACTTCCACAGATCTAAGATTTGTGACAAAGTTATGTGCACAGACTGATGTTTGCAGCATGAGTTACAGTGCTACGTTTTTCTTTCAGAAGGCTTATTTTCTGCTTGTTTGTGCAGAAGCAATTTAGCAGGCAATATACGAGCACTGCACTCCCAAAAGATAACATTTACTCAGGAGTTCACTTTTTAGAAGAGATATTGCACTTGTCCCCAATATTTTCATGCTATTTTAGCTTTATGGGGCATGAGATTAATTTCCTATTCTATTTACCTTTTGTATTTTACATGACAGATAGTGTATTTTATTATAGTAGGCTGTAATAAGAGACGCTTACTTATCTCTCAGCTGATAATGACTCCAATGTCCACATATGTCTTCAATACCAGCTTTCAAGTGATCCATCAACTAGAGAAACAAACAAGGAAAAATTTTAAGTGGTCATTATGAGAAAATAATGTCACCACAAACATGCAATTGTTGACAGGATTTTGAGATTTTTTTAATTGGAGGGAGTTAATTCTGAAAGCATCTACATTTCTCTAAAAATCAAGACAAAGTTCCCACAGTGGCAGCTCCTATGCTTGTCTGAAGTGGCAATATTTTGATGTAGGCAACACATCTGTCAGTCTGCTATTATCTCACAATCACCCAGCAACATACTGGCCCAAGTAAAGGACTATGTCCAATGAAGATGCTACTGAGCATCCAAATTGCCTCATCCTCTTTGTCTACTGAGACCAAAAACTAAATTCTTGTCTCTGTCAGCCAAGTTTCCCTTCTGCATGTATGACCTCCCTGAGGGAGGCACAGGGCCAGGTACCCCACACCTTAACCTTTGCCTTGGTGGACAAGTCCTCTGAGGATTTTGAAAATTGTCGTGAGACTGGTAAGTTCATCAGTGATAACTACCAGGATTTTCAGTCATCTTTTGTGCATTTCTAGCATTATAGAAATAGACAGAAAAATGACCAATTCTTACATATATATTGTTGTAAGTAGTGCTTTTAAACATAAATTCCTTTCAAGGTTAAGTGTAAAGGTTGAAACAGTAAGAATTAAATGCACTTCAAATTCAATCAGTTGAGATGCTCTAATTTTGCTAATGTCGCTGCACATGCTTAATTTTAAGTGTTTCTGTTAATTTCAAATATATTCCCTATTGTGTAAATGAAAGCATGTACATATATTTTGTATAGTGTTGTTAAGTCAGTTTGAGCAGCTTTCTGTTTCTAAAGCAAACGTTTGAGAGGGGAAAAGATCATTACTCAGAATAACTCAAAACTAGATTTGCAGACCAGTGGTTCAACTCATTTCAGTTGAATAAAACTTGATTAAAGACTTTTAAGGTGTCATTGTGTCTAGAACCAGTCAAAAGATGGCAACAAATGTATCTGACAAATCTAGCTGGGAATTATGACAAGTGCATTTTGTAAACTCTATGTTTCTGTCCAAGAATTAAGGGCTCTGCTACACCATGACACTTGTGGTACGATATTATAATATGGTAGTCACTATGAATATAAATGAGATATCATATTTAGGAAATTATGCCTAGGGTTTCCTCCAAATGTTGTTTAAAGCATTCAGTGTCCAAACTCAATGAATACCAGAGGTACCAAATGCCTCCCTCTGTCAAGCTCTTTTGGAATACCCTTTCTCTTCTTCTTTTTAGGATACCAGCTACTGATATAAAAAACTTACTCGAATGTGAATTTCTTCATTGATAGACTCCTTTTTGTTGGTCTTTTTGACATCTAGATATCTGACCAAAGGTCCAATTGTGATTCCCTGCATTTGGATTGGAACAATGAAATGAAATGTCAATTATCTTTTAGGAAAAAAAAAAAAAAAGAAAAGAAAAAAGAAAAAAAAGGCAAAAGGATTTAATTTTAATCAGTTAGGAAAACTGTGTCTTAGACAAAAGAATTATCTATTACTTGTATGTAGATCTACAGAAGAAGACTGAAACTCAAAAGTTAAAAAAAAAAATGCACCAGTGGTTTTGAGCAAGATTGTATTTATTGATATGTTTTAACTATGTAAAGTAACTAACTCATTGCCAACCTTTTTCAAAACAACACTTGAAAGAAAACATTGTCTTTGTGGGATTCTTACAGTCTTGAAACCTTTTACTTCAACTTTTTCAGAATTAAATATTTGGGGTTTTTTTTCACTTAGAAACTCTTTTCAGCTGTTCCCAATTCTTTACTGCACTGCTACAGAACAACATTTAAAAAGGGGAAATAGAAACAAAATGTTTTGCCTGAAACTTTCTGGTTGAATCTTAGTGCCAACTGCAACTGCATAGTGCCCCATTGGCACCCTAGGGTGTCTGAGATATTGGTATGGGAAAATACAGAACATGAGATGCAAGACTCTCAGGGGATCTCCAGTTCTCTCAGGTACAGCAGTGTAAGCCAAGTGGAATAGGCCAAACATCTGAAGTATATACCTATTCTTACAGATCTGAATTATTCATTTTATTTTTCTTTAATATTCTTGTATAAAGGATTTCAAAATGTTCCCATTTGTCTCCAAGATAAATGAAGATAAAGGAAAAAATACAAAATTCTTCATAGAACAGACGTATTATTTTCTGTTCAGTTTGAGATACACCACTAGTAGAGAATGATTCTCTGCTGAAGTGTAAAGTTAAAATGCTTCTTAATTTCGAAGCATTAGGAAGTGCATGTGGAGTGAACATAAGAGCTTTTGGACACAAAGTGCCCTTTTCCCTGAGTGTTTTAGAATAAGCAGGTTTTCAACACAGACTTTCTGAAAAAGTTATTTAATAGTACCTAAAAAGCCCTGAAAGGGTAATTACACACTGGAGTGCTAAATCTGGCCATGAAATACGATAGCTTGTCCTAGTTTGAGAGTAAATTCAATGCAATCTTCACTATGATCTTTCAGTCATCTCTACTACAAAAAAGCAATTAATTAAGAAATACGCTTACTTGGATGAACACAGTGAAATATATAACTACAAGCGTAGCAGTAATGAACAATTTTTTTCTTGGGAAGAGGTTCTCTGGAAGCAAGAATGCAAGAGAGAAGCTGCTGGCTCCTCGAAGGCCACTGTAGGAAATAATGAGTTGGTCTTTGAAGGTGAAGGGGTATGTTCGGAACTTGTTACTGATGTAGAAGAGAGCAAATACGCCTAGGAAGGAAAAAAAAAAAGAAAAAAAAACCCCACAGCTATTATTAATCAAGGACAAAAAGGAAAATATTTAAAACAGAACAAAATATTGTCTCAGGCAGCTGTTGATGGACATTTCTTTTCAATTTTGGGTTCTTGTATCTTCTCTTTGACCAACAGCTGAATCTATTTTGTGTGAAATAATCTCCTAAAAAAGACCATGATTCCTAACTGCTTCAGGATTTAAATTCACTTATGCAGTTCAGAAGTGAGATTAGGGGAAAAGATTTACTTTCTGACAAACCACTGGATGAGATTTTTTTCTGTGCTTTCCTTGCAATGTTTCTTGCTTTCTCCACAGTATCTGCCCAAAGTGTTTGAATAGTGCCTTACCAACAAGTCCTGTGGACAGGTTCACTGAAAGGCAAAGAGTAATAGCGTTTTAATTTTTAATCCTCTGGCTAATTGTGTCTCTAATTCTCTGTTTATTTCTCAAATGTCATTTTGTGTTGAATAAAAGTTAAAATTAATCAGACAGCCTGTGGCTGGGTAAGGAATGCAACTTTTCTTAATAGAGTATATTTAGCAATTTGCTTGGTTTACTCTTAATCTTCTTCTCCTCCATAAGAAACATGTATCCTATGTTTTGTGTGGAAACTGTTAAATTACTAAATTAAAAGCTGACAAATGCTGATATTTACTGGTGTTATCTTACACAGCTGTCACGGATAAACTCAGTGGATTATTTAGGTAAGGCCAGTAGCAGTATCCTGTTATTTAGGTTGCTGGATACTGCTTTATATAAGACCTTTTTTGTCTACTTTATAACTATGCTAGACATCAGCTACTCAGACTGAAACTGCCTATGTGAGGTATCACCCTCAGGCCAATTCTTTTTACTTATTCAAGCTTCAGAGAAAATGATGTAATCATTTTAGCAAATTCAGTAGAAAATATTCTGGCCTTCCTCTGGAAAGCTCTAGCACTCCCCTTGGTGTTTGAAAGAAGGATGGACATGAGGCAGCAGAATAGCTTTGTATACAACTTCTTCTGTCTTGATTGGAAGAATAGTCCAATATGGACTCTGAAAGCAAGCCTTTAAAAACTTAGAGGCCATGTTTGGTCCAGGATTAGCAAGAAAATATTTAATTATTTTCTTTTTACTGTCAACCCATAAGAATCATATCACCTCTACTGTTGAGTACTTGTGTCATCCCTAATATAATAGAGCTGTTCAGATGCACATACTCAAACCTTCATAGGTTTCCCTTTTCCTTTTATTACCTCTGGTTAGGTGCCTTCTTCCAGGACTCTCAGGCTTACAAGTCAAAGGCCTTGAAATGTTTATGGGCTTTGAGGGTCAAGCCAACATTTTCTTGCTGCTCTGAGGTTTTTTTATTTTGTTTTGTTGTTGAATGAGGGATAAACCACCTGAGAGATTTAAGTAATAATAACACTTTAATCTCAGATGCTTGATGTCCCAAATGTTGGACTCAGCATACTATAGGCTTGCAAGGATCTTTGGAGGCTGTCTAGTCCAAATCCCCATTCAAAGCAGAGCTAATCAGATCAGGTTGCTCAAAGCACCAGTCAAGTCTTGAACGCCTTTAAGAATGGAGAAATAAGCCACTCTTACAATACTGGATCACTCTCAAGTTATAAAATGGGTTCCTACTGTCTAATCAGAATTTCCCATGTTCCAGCTTATGTCTGTTGCCTCTTGTCCTACTGCTGTGCACCTCTGAGAAGTGTCTGGCTCCATCTTATTTCTCTCCTCTGGTTGGGTACTTGTAGAATTTAATAATGTTTGGCTGGATGATACTAGAAAATAAGGGAGAAGATGACAATGTGTTGCCTCTCTATTCCACAGTTGCAGTAAATTGTCTAACAGGCACAAGAGCAGGTCATAGGATAAATCCGTCAGGACTACCACTTCCAGAAAACCACCAGCTTTCTTATTCCTTCTTCTTTTTCAACATTACAGTTAAACCATCCTGGACATTAGAAGAAGATGAGAAATTTTGTCCCATAGCTTGTGTGACATCATCTATAAACTGTCCTGCCCATGCTGGAGGAATCCCAGTCTCACAGATTGGGGAGTAGGAGACCTTTGCGGGAATGGGGAGATACTGTGTGTAGAAATGGACTAATTTCAGACAGCCACTCTTTTCTGGCAGTTTAAAACTTCGGAGTTGACTTGTGAGGAGCAGTAGCACAGTGTGGTTGGCCTATGTGTGGTATAGGAAGGAAACAGAGTCTCTGTTCAGTTATCTATCAGTGCTAATTTTCACTTTCTCTCTTTTTCAATGCTTCCAGTGCTCCTGGCCCAGGACTTGTACTGTTATAGCATGAGAACTGTTGTGATGTACATTATCTAATTAGTAAGTTAATTACAGTGTGCAATGAAATCATTATGAAGCCCACTTACCCAAAGGCATGTAGTTAAATGAGATATAAAAATCTATACAGGAATAATCACAGTACCATTTTAATTTTTCTTAAAATACTCCATTATCACCTAATCATAATGTCTGTGCTTGGAGACTGACATTCAGATTTGTCTGGGGCTTTTCCCCCTATTTTCTCCATGTGTTGATTTGTGAAATTAACTTCTCAGTAACATAAGCCTAGTAAATTTTTTATTAAACCGGTTATGCCAGTCTGCACAGACTTTACTGGCATACCTTTGCACCAAAGTGTTCCTCTCAGAGGTGCAGATTAAGTTGCCTGCAAAAGCTGACTTACTCAGTGTCCGCCAAACAAGGCAGAAGAGCAGAGTGAAGCAAATGAAGGCCCAGTTCCACTCGTGGTTTTTCCCCACTGTAGACACTCCCATGAACACAAAAATCAGGGTCTCGCTGACACTGCTCAGCATCTTCATGAAATATTTTATTGTGGTATAGGAATTCTGGGAAACATTCTCCTCCACGTATTTTTTCATTGTCACTGCACATGCTGTCATCCTGTACCAGACAAAACATCAGATATTAGCCATAAGCTGTTTTTCTTTTCATTTAAGAACAGCCACAGCCTTCATTACTTGTACTCTCCATCACCAGCCTCTGACCTTCCTAATATCAAGAAGTACTTTTTTTCTTCAGGAAAGTTAGCTATTTCATTAGATAAAAGAACATCTTCATTCAACTTTACAAATCCATACAGGAAAAAGGAAGCACACCAGTCAGTCTTCCTGATGAGGGCACCACGTTCCAGTTCAAAGTCCATTTTGTCCTGAATGCCTAACACATACCCACCAAACACCAAATATTTGAGTCTCAAACAAAGGGCAAGTCGGCTTTGTACCAGCCTACAGACAGATCTGTTAGAGGGACATAACCTGCCTCTTAGTGATCTACTCCTTTGAGGTGGTGGTGGGAGAACATGGTAGTCCTAAACCAGGGCCAAAGCTCCTGGTAGCTGCCTGACAGCTGGCTGGTAGATCAGCAGGACCAGGGTAAGCTTTAGTGACTCTCCACTCACAGCTGCCCATTGCTGCATAGCAAGGGGGAAATTCAGTTATCTTACAGAGGTTTCCTTCTCCCCTTTCAGTTACCCAAGATGTGGAGAATGTGCCTAAGGAAGCAAAGGGATGTTTTCCACTTCTTCACTGTAAATGGAGACTAGAACCTACGTCCAAAGCATCAGCAGCCACCCAGCACAGGTGCTGGTAACAACAACATGAAGCAGTAGTCTTTGAGCAGCCCTACTGAAGGGTGTTTCCTCTTTTCCCCTTCATTTTCCATAGCCATTTGCAGTAGATGGATTGTGTGCTATGCTAGTAACATAGTTCATCATCTATCTAGATTCTACTGATATTATTTTAGTCTTTGGGGACTTCTTGTGATGATATTTTTCCAAACTGGTGAATTCAGAGAATGCTGACTGTTCATTAAATAACCTTTCATCTAGTTTCTGCCCATTTAATTTCACTGAAGAAATCTTAAGGGTATTCTTGTGGAGCTGAGACATTTAGCAGGTCCAAGGACACTTTAAGACAAGGTTATTAGGCATTAATGTTTAATACTGTTGACTTTCAGAGAAACATGCATAATAGACTTTCATGATCCAAGTGAAAAATGAATGAATTCCTCAATAATTCAGAAGGGTGACAATAAGTTCCCATCTCTAAAACAAGCAATAATTTCCTTAATGAAGCAATAAGAATAATAAATCCCAATTATATTAACATTCTTTTATTACTAATAATTTCAGCACTCTAATGAAAATAAGAAGCAAAAGAAATAAAGAGCTATGTAGTCTAGTGTAATGAATAGCCAGGGAAGCAATATTTTGGGAAGTGCAGGTAGGAAAGTGTCCCTATGATATTAGTGCTTACTTCATGGTAGGTCTAACCCTGCTCAATCAAAGTCGCCAGTCACCTCAATCAGAGCAAATGCGTTGGATATGCAAAACATAGTAGAAGATTCATCTGCTTTGTCTAATTGCTCAGAAAAACATATCTCCTGAAAAATTATTTAATGTGGTTAAATATTCAAATATTGCTTCCCAGGGCAATCCTGCAAAGATTGTTTTTACAAAGCCAGTTCAGCTCTGAAACTGAACAAACCGGAGTTGTTCAGCCTGGAGAAGGGAAGGTTGCAGGCAGACATTATCGCAGCCTTCAATATTTAAAGGGGGTCTATATGATGACAAAAGTTTTAGCCTGCTATGATAGGACAAGGGGTAATGGTTTCAGATTAGAAGAGGGTACATTAAACTAGATACAAGGAAGGAATTGTTTACAATGAGGGTGCTGAAACACTGGAACAGGTTGCCCAGAGAGGTGGTTGAAGCCCCATCCCTGGAAACATTCAAGGTCAGATTGGATGGGGCTCTGAGCAACCTGATCTAGTTGAAGATGTCCCTGCTCACTGCAGGGGGGGTTGGACTAGATGACCTTTAAAGGTCCCTTCCAGCCCAAACCATTCTATGATTCTACGATTCTACGATTCTATGATTGATTCTAGTTTGATAAGTGGAGGTGAATAAATGCATCTGTCTGGACATCATCAGCCACATACTTGTATTTGTTAGGTTTAACCACTTTGTGTTCAATAAAGGGAACTCCTTTCTGGAGCACCAGGGCCCATAAGACCCGACATGCAAGCTGAGAGACAGCACAGGCCATCCAAGGTTGCTTCCACCCACCAACTGTGCACCGAGCCTGCAGCAGCCAGCAGCACCAGCTGGAGCATTTACCACCATCAGGTTCCCTTTTCTGTACACTTTACCCTGCTGAGGGACTCTTTGGTGTAGTATCTTTGAAGTTCACCTACCACCAGTTTTCCCGTAAAATGTATCACTTTCACCCCTATTCCTTCTTCTCTCTTCTGACTCCGTTCCTGCCACCATCCTTTTTCCTTCCCACAATACTTACTTTACTGCAGTCAATAGACCTACCAGCTTTCTCTCTGCAGCAGGCACCCGTGCCATCACAGCACTGTAAGGAAGCAGTCCTCAGCATTATAGCAGTATCAAGCTATCCTGATCACATCAAAATATGATCGTCAAGATCCATATACATAAGTATATGTATGCATATGCTCTTGATGTTCTCAGTTGTCTGGTTTTGCCCAGTTTCAGTTCTAGTGACGCTGCTCAAATGCAATATAATTCCAGTGATTTGTGTTAGAGCTGATGTTCACATAGAATCATAGAATGGTTAGGATTGGAAGGGACCTTCCAGATCATATAGTTCCAACCCCCCTGCCATCAGCAGGGACATCTTCCACTAGACCAGGTTGCTCAAAGCCTCATCCAGCCTGGCCTTAAACGCTTCCAGGGAGGGGGCATCTACAACTTCCTTGGGCAACCTGTTCCAGTGTCTGACCACCCTCACAGTGAAGAACTTCTTCCTAATATCTAATCTAAACCTGCCCTCTTTCAGTTTAAAGCCATTTCCCCTAGTTTTGTCATTAACTGCCCTTATGAAAAGTCCTTCCCCAGCTTTCTTGTAGCCCCCTTCAGGTATTGGAAGGCTGCTATAAGATCTCCCCGGAGCCTTCTCTGGGATGTTCTTTATTATGTTTTCCATACTCACTAATTTTCATCTCTCTTGTAATCTGATGGTGATGCTGCTTAGAAATAAGTACAGATACACTGATCTATTATTAAATTGTTTCCTCATTCTGCTGATCTTACCAGAGGTAGCAGCCAGATGGTGGCAGCACTAGTCATTTCACCAACACCTTACAGTATTTTTGACACCGGGCAAAAATCTCAAAAAAATTTCAGAGCAGATATGCACTCCTCAGTAGTACATCTATGCCTACCCTGATGGTGGGTTTTCTTTTCCTAGTTGCCACTGTATTTTACAGATCCCTTAGAAGCCGTACACTGCAGATCTCTAGGCCAGAGACTGAAAATGCCTGTATTGTACCAACCTTGAGCAAACTACCTTCTCAAAACAATTCCACTTCCCTCAAGAGGGCATCCAAAAAGTCATAAGGAGTACTCACGCCAAAATGCCTGAGATGTAAAGGGTTTCAGCAGACAAGTATGACAGGTAGCTGAACATGAAGACCAGCAGGGGTTCGATAGCAGAAACGTTCTGGGTGAATCGAGTCATGAATGCTGAAACAAATCCAAAGATGATGCCAAACAACATGCCACCCAGCCCCACCACGAAGAAGCGAGCAAAGCCAGCGAAGACATCAATGGATTCAATTTCTTCATACCTGTGCATCTGGGTGAAGGCGATGAAGATGTTATATAAAACCTACATGTGAAAATAAGGAGACAGCAGTCAGTTGTCTTTCTGAACTTGTCAGGCTTACTCATTTCATATGTGTGTGGATGTGTGTGTGTGTTTATACACCTGAAATTGCTTTAGACAGCTCAGCAAAGTTACTCACCTTTCAGTTTTCAAGAGAATTTGGGGAACATCTAAAGACACTAGCTCTCCAAGCTGTTGCACCAAAACATTAGTTCAAAAATGCAAAATGGACCAAAATAATTTGCCTTATCTGGTTTTTCTTTGGTCTTTCTTCTTCATCTAGTTAATTCTAGAAAGCTATTAAGAAGATTAAAGCAGATATTGGCAGGTAGAAGAGTCAAGCTCATTAGGATAATAATTACTATCTAATCTTAAATTGCTGCTGGGAACATATGACCTTGAGCTGTCATGTGGCCCATTCTCCAGGAGGCTCATTGCTAATATTTCTAGGGGACAGAAAAAGCACAATAAAATTTTTCATATGAGAAAATACCCAGAGTTGCTTTTTCCTGATGGCTAGATATGAAATTAGTCTCTTCAGTGGCAGATAACAAACAGAGGGTTCATGCCTCCACAGTAAGCAAACTTTACTGTACTTACCGTATAGTTTTTATTTACAAAGCCTGATTTCTCTCTGTTCTCCCTTGCAGACTTCAACCTCCTTCTAAGACTTGTGATTCTTTATAAATTATACCAAGGCATGAATCTATGCTGACCTATGAATAAAGTAAATTATCCTCAGCGAATGACTTAGTAAGTTTTTCTCTCTTTTTGTAGTTCCTGAAGTGCCTGTATAATATAAATGAATTGGCATTAAAATTGAAATTATGGTAATATTACATAATTTCTGGGGTGGTTTTTTTAACATCCTTTGTGGGAGTAAACTGTTCTGTACAACATCCTGCACTGTTTCATATGAGTAAGGCTCCATGTGAATGCTGCTCAGCTAAGTTACGCTGCAGTGTTTATGCCAGTAAATGGAGTACTATAATTCTTTACATAGTAGGAAAGCCTGAATCATTTTAGGATGCCTTCGTTCACTCAAAAAGAAGGGATGGATTGAAAGTTGGCCTCATTTAATGAGTCTGAGAATGTCATGCTCTGGGTTTTTTGGAGGGGACATTACTGTGTACTGGTGTACCACTGGGTGGATGTTAGAGCCAAGGAGAGGAAGAGAGAGTGTGACAGTGTCACCCACAGGGGACCTCCCTGGGGACTGGTCACTGCTCCAGCTGCCTGTATGATACTAACATTGCACATACCATCCACATCAGAAGCACTGGAAAAAAGATTTTCAAGTGACTGCCTTAACCACCAACACAGGCAGCTTTGATAACTCTTTCTTTCCACCCTGATAACTCTTTCTGACCACATGCATTTAATTTTACTCTAAACAGAGTGGGTCAATTTCAACAGCAGGAGCAGAGAATATCTCCATCCTCCTTCCTATCACCCATACATCCCAGTGGTCAAAGCCTTCCTCAGTGGCATCAGAGAGGTAAATTCAAATCCCCTCAAATAAAGAAATTAATTTTACTTGGGTCTCCATCACGTTGTAGATTTCTTTAACTGCTCTGCTACCGCAAACAAAAAAGAGAGGGTACCATTAGAGAACACAGTCACTGCTACTTCATTTTGAGTACAGCATGATGTATAGGTGTTCTCAGTGTTTCTAAAATCAAGCTCAGAGATGAAGTAGTCAGGGGAATAATTCAGTTTCCTGATGCACACAGGTAGGTGCTCAGCTACTGTTGAGGCAGATGTGGTCTGTGTATACGCAGGAGCAGAGCTTCAGATGCCTGAAACACTTTGCATCAAAATCAGGGTCCCCTATCTGTGTTCAGGTTTGATTTAAATCTGCACTGGATTTACCAACATCCCTGTTATGAACAGGGCTTTGAAACTCCAGTAATGTATGATACATGCTAGGACCAGTCTTGTTGCTGTCTGTGCTGTTCTGGTGCTAACAGTCTACTCAGAAGGAACCAGGAAAAGAAATAATTAACAGGACGTGTAGCTTTCTTGTTCCATCCATGGACCTGAACCTACTGAGGAGAATGGGAAAAGGTGCAAATAGGTAAAAAGAGTCAATTTTGCACTTTTGTCCCAGTCCTTTAAGTCACAGGCATAACTCTTAAATCATCCTTCTAATTCCACAGTCTGTTATTTTGCAAATATTGTACACCAAAATAGTGAACTAAATACAGGAGAGAGAGCTACTGTTGCCTCAAATATAATATACAAGTTCAGCAAAATTCATACCAGTTTTTCCTGCTAGGGAAAAAATGTTCAAGCTGATAAGCAGGTTGGAGAGAACTGGGGGATATTTGTATTTAAACAATAGAAAAATATGTATGCTTAATATATCTTGGTGATATTATCTTTTTAAACACAGAGAGTTAACTCAAGGAAACTGTTAAGAAAGAAATGGGGAGGAAATTAAGATAAGCCACTTGAGGTAAACAGTTTTAAAGACTTTTAAAAAGCAAGCAGGGTATCAGAGAAGAGAAAGACAGCTATTGGGCTCCATCCAGTTGACAAATAGTTCCGTCTTCTCAAATGTGAAGCCACGTAGAGATTTGAACACCCAGAAAATGGGTGAGAGGTGGGTGATGCAGAGATACATCAGCAAGAGCTGACAAACAGATTGCAACACAGCTGTGGTGAGAAGAGCCCCAAAGATGAGGGTGCGTGGGGCAAGGGGAGCTCACAGTGTTGTAGCCAACACTCCCCATGTACAGTCCTTTCATCTCTTTTGCTAACACACCTACTGCTGCTGAGGAATGCCTGAACACCACTGGTTGGAAAGGCCTTCTGACACTACAAATTTATGCTGTAACAGGATCCTGACTGAAAGCTCATATAAATACCATCATGAGTTGGATCCACGTTGTAAATAACAGCTGGGAGTGAAGGGAAAGCAAAGTAGAGAGCCAGTCAAAAAAAGGACAAAACAAGCTCTTTGAGAGTGAGGCAGAGATATTACTTTCTGAGGTCTGCACTTAAAGAGACCAAAAATACAAGTGGAAATGATAGATGCATTGGAGATTTTTTTGTTACAACTATAACATGTAAACAGTTTGCATATAAAGTTAAGTAACATTTGTCCCTTCATTGTACATCAGCCCTGCTACATCTCTGATTCATCAAGAGGAAGGATTCATGATCAATAGGTTATGGCTGCAAGAAATTACTTCGTTCCTTTTCTTTTGTGCATTACTCATGAATTGCACTTCTCCCATGAAGCCTTTCAGCAATGAACTCTGTACAGATTTTACAAGTCCAAGTTGTGTTGTACTTCATGTATAACAGCATCTGAATAGTTTTTATGTGTTTCAGATTCCTGTGATTTAGATTCTGTAAAGATCTTATCTAGCGAAACTGCTTAACCTGCAGTTAGCTTTCAGCACATGAGCAGTCCTGTCGGCTTTTGAGCAACCAATTTCGTGCTTGAAATTTCTTGCCTGAAAAACATGTGTTTTTGTCAGTTGTGGTTTGCAGCTAGAATTTCAGGTTGCACCAAGTTCTAGTAGAATGATAAATTGGGAAAAGTATTAGCAAAAGGAGATCTGTAAAAAATTATTTTCCTATTTAAAAAAACCAAAAACAATAACCAAAAAATGAACAACATCCAAAAGCATTGTTTCTGGACACTGAGATAAGACATCCAGAAAAAGTAAACGTTTGTCAGATGTCAGTTTTTTTACTGATAGAAACAGGGTTCTGCAAAGTCATTAGTAGGTTTTGGAATTCCTGTCTAAGGTCTTTAGGGAACTGTCTAGAAGGGGATGGAGGCTGTCCATTTCTGTTTTGTTGTTTGATTGGGGCTTTTTTTGCAGAGGGTTCTCTAGGGCATGGGACAAGGAAGGGTCTTCTGCATTGCTACCCCTGCTGCCTCCAGTCTTTAAGCAGTACAATTTTTCATTTATTTACTTGCACAGTGTCAGGAATGTTCCTAGATTTTACACTGATCCTACCAGCAAAATCAACTGTAGCTTCTCCGTTCACTTCAGTGGATGTAAGAGCAGGATGTTATTTCTAATGTGTATATGTATGCTTCCCTCTTTCAGCGGGTCTAAACCAATATGTTTATGAAAGAGTTACTATAAATGCAATTTTTACATACATTAAAATTATTTGTGTGTTGCCAGTGGAGTATCTATAAAATAAATAACGTATCTAGGAACTCCTTAGAGCTGTTCCTGCCCTGTGCCAAATAAACCTACAAGCCACAAGAGCCCAAAGAGAGGAGGACAAGACATGGAAAGAAACTCACCACAGTTATCCCATCATTTAGCAATGACTCTCCAAAGATCATCATGTAAAGCTGCTCATTAACAGAAGCTTCTTCAAAAACTACCAGAGCTGCCACGGGATCCACAGCTGAAATCAGGCTGCCAAAGAGCAGGTTCTGCAGCAGGTTGATGTTGGTCAAGCCAAAGGCTTCAATCTGGCAGATTCCATAGAGGGAAAGGCCAGTCCCAAATGAGTTTATCAGAGATCCTAGCACAGACCACCAGAGGATGGACCCAAAGTTTTCTAAAAATGGACGAGTTGGCATGAAATAACCCTCCTCCAGGACAATGGGTGGAAGGAGATATAAGAAGTAAATACTTGTGTTCATCACTGGTGGTGATTTGTGATCAGAAGCAAAGATGATCGCTCCTACTAGTGCTCCAATGGCAATCAGGATGCAGCTTTCAGGCATGAGTCTTGGCAATCGATGATAGAGATGGAAACCTTGAATAAAACATTGGGATATTATTATAGTTTAAATTAACCTGATGTCAGACAGATGTTTTGCCTGCCTTTGAATACTTTGTCTTTAGACAACTAGGTTTTGCTTTTAGGATTATGAAAGTAAATACACAAGCAGCACTGTTCCCTTCAAAATGAAACCTTCACAGATTTGTATCACTACAGCAGAAAAAGAGTTTGGCCATGAATCTCTTCTCTTCTGCCTCCCCCACTCTCAGTTTCTGAGCACGTGTACCTGAGTCTGAGATCCACATCCTGGAAAGCAGAAACCTCTTTGAAAAGGTTTGGAAAGAAAATATTATTCAAGAATCATTGCTGCACAGCTGCTACTTGCCAGACCTCTGAGGCACCGTACTGTCCCTCCATCTCAAAGAGAACCCCCATCCCTGGCTGCAGGTTTGAGGACAGCTCCCCCCAGTGCTGAGGAAGGTCCCTGTCTGCAGAGCTTCCACTGGATTTGGGCAACCAGGAACATGTAGAAGCCCAAGGGAGCAGGGAGCAGCTCAGATGCTACGGTCTGTTCAGCTCCCTGCACTCCCACCACTGCCCTGAAGCATTGCATGGAAACTAGGTGGTCCACAGACTGAGGGAGCGAGTACTCATGAACACCAGAATGTCCAGAGCAGCTCAGGTACCATCAGGAATTAAGCCACAGTAACATAAGGCTTTGTACAAGCTGATTAACCTTGCTTTTCTGCAAAAGTTGCTGTTACTACATAAGGTAAACAGTACTCTGTAAAGAGCTTTATGAGTTAGTTTACTGAAAAAAAAAAACCCTAATGATTTCAGCAGAGCTGAAAGAACTACCGGCACCCATCAAATATCTAAGAAAGTAATGTGTCCTGAGGGATTATTTTTTTCCTCACTAGAATAAAGGCTGAGTCTACACTAGCAAATTTAGCAGGCCAAAGACTTTTCCAGACACTAAAGTTCAGTTTGCATCCATACAGTCCATTTCTCTTCCCTTGCAAGGAGTGGTCACATCCAAACCGCCTGTGGGAACAGACCCTGGCCCACAGTCTGCCCAAGCACTGCCTCAGAGAAGGCTTGTCAACACTGGCCAGAGCTGAGAAGGAGCATGCCAATGCTGACATGGTGTGGAGAATCATTCACAGCTTCCTGACAGGGTGCTCATTAGTTTACAAGCATAGATGTAGCCAAGCTGTTTTACAGAGAAAGGGCTACACTTACCGTATAAATGTTGTGGGTGTGAATCTCCTCCTGCCTACCTTGGTGTACTACTACTGCAAAGGCATTCATATCTTCATTCAAATTCTTCTCGTTTGACACAAATGATGATACCAACAGTAAGATAATGTCTGGCTCATCGAGTCGCTGTACCAGGAACTATGTAATCACATTGCAAATGAGAGGTGCCTTAACTAGAAATGTAAGGAATTGTTCAGAATTTCCAAGAATGAGAATGAGACAGACTAAGAAACCTGGAAATTCAATGACTCTGTCTCCATGCCTGAAGCTAGGTCAACCTTCATCCCATAATTCTAGCAGCTAATGACATGACTGCATTTCTGTGACCTTTGAATTATCAATGTTCAAATGTAAAGGAAAAATATTTTCATGACATTTTAAATAATTTCTTTAGTAGACTATTTGCTCTTACAAAAAAGGAAGTTATAATAACTCTACTTATCTCCTTTTTTTAACTAAAAATAATATTCAAGTCTTTTGTCTGTTTTACAGAATAAGGGGATTACTTTTTAAGGGGATTACTTTTCCTTTCAAGATTTCAGAAAAACTTACCATCCTGAAATCTTGAAATCCAGAAAGAATATAATACTTGAATGAAACACTGAAGATTTCTAAGGGTTTGAAGATCTTCTTCCCTGAGTAACCAGATTATTCAGACTAACTCTTTCTTCCAAGTAGATTGAAGTCAGCAGCTCCCAACTTTTAATCAAAAATAATATTAATGGAAAACTCACAGCTAAAGAACAGGTCTACTTGACAGGTATCACACAGTTCTTCTAAATTATCTATTTCTTTCTCAAAACAATAATATAGAGCAAATGTGCCGTATGGCAAGTCCTGTGTTCTTATGGTTGATGAATACAGAAATTGGTCAATATGCTCACTGCTAACACACTCTGCTGATGCAATAACAACAAACTTGATTTGTGAAAAAATTTATTATTATTTTAGCAGTGAAGTCATTTCTTCAGAGGAGTTGGATTGAGATCATCAGCAATTATGAAACTGGCAAATGATAGTCAGCAGTAAGAATCTTTGACACCTCTGTGAGACTATGACATGAAAAACGTTTATTTTCATGTCACCTCCAGAAAATCATCAGTCCCACCTACCAACCTGTTCTGTAGGAATGTTTGAAAATCCTATAGAAGATCAAAAGAGCAGGGAGATCATGTGTGTGCAGCTCTTTACATTACCATCTTCTTCATTTATTTGATATCCCTGCTTTAATTCTGAATGGTCAAAGTAATTTTAGCCCAGCCATGCAAACGTGGAAGACACATGGTGAGCCATTTTTGCTATGTTAATTGAGGTCCCTAGTTCTCCATGAGTTCTCTTTCTTCATTCAGGTACCTACATGGAGCTCTAATAGAAGCTAGATGTGTTAGAATGTATTTAAAAGGCACTTACCCTACATCTCTGATGACCTACACCCTCTCGAGACTCTCAGTCCCTCTCCTCTGATATTAATTTATGAGCAACTTTAAGCAGCAAAGATGTAAAACAAAGACTCATCAGGAATGTTTCCTATTATTCACACAGCTGAAGAATTCTTCCCATTTTCCTCCTCCATATTAAATACATTTGAAGTCTCGATCTGGTGTTACTGATTTCTACAGCTGTGGCCAGTTGTAAATTCTGATATTTTGTGTTGTTTAAAGACTAGAAAAAGGGAGGGACAGCACTGTGTTAGGGGAGAACCCAAGAGACATGAGGGTTAGAGGTCATATATTTACTTAAGTAAGCTAGAAGCATTCAGAGGTTGAATTTTGTCATTGTCATGGTAATGGATACACCTGTTCTATTGAGGATGGGACCTGTAAAAACAAACCCAGGTACAGAAATACATGAAAGATACTTGGTTACATGATATATTTTTAACCTCTTTCTCAGGTAGGAGGATGCAAGATCCCATTTTCTACTCACCTATTTTTGCAAGGGAAGCGAGGAGTATCCAAAGTGTAACTTCATAGGGAATTTGCACATAGTCATAGTCCACTGTGAAAACATGTAGTCTTGTATCTTGTGAAGAGCCAACAGCACCCCCATGGTCAGGTTCATAGTGAGGCAGGAAATTCTTGCTCAAATTGGGCTCATCCAAATAAGCAGCAGTAGAACAGCATACCAGACTCAACAGCAACAGCAACCAGTTCCAAAGCTTTACATGTGCAACCACGGGAGAGCCCATGTCTGGGGCTGTGACTCTTTTATTATACATATGGCAGGTGCATGAAGTTAAGCAACACTCACACCAGTTGATTCACGCTGCTCATAGCCACGGCCACTTCTTCCTCAGGACTACTTCATTTGCCTATTAGAGGTCATTTTTAAAGTCCTAATGTGTCTGTCCTGTTCCTTGTGTAACAGACAGACCTGGAGTTTGTATGAAGATACCAGTTCTGCAGGTTCATCCGACCCAGATAAATCTTGGCCACAGCATCAGCCTGTTAAGGAATAAAAAGCCCTTTCCAACTACATTATTTATCCAACCACTCTGACTTTTTTCACATAGTCAAAAAAAAAAAAAAAAAGTTGCAATGCACACTCAGCAGGAGTAAATAGCATCAGGTGGGAGAGACAGTGGCACCTTGGGCAGGCAGGAGAGACTGCTCCATGCCTTCCTCTCCTGCCCTCACTCCCCGTCTGCCTCCCCAGAGCAGCTGGCACCTCAGGTACCACACTTGGCACTGCTCACTGGTCCTGTCTCACCTGGTAACAAAACTGCTCTGTGTGTAAATAAAAGGACTATGCAGGGCTTACAGGAAGGACATCTGGTGGAGGAACATGCAAATTACGTTCTTGTTTAGAAATGTGTTCTCACTCTTGAAATGTATGTATGTAACTTAGCACATTATAACAATGGAAAGAGGAAAGTCTGAGTCACATCACGAGCCTAAAACTGGATCTTGGCTTGTCTTATATATTTGACGTTTGTTTTACTCATGCTAGCAAGGCATTTACTGGACAACCACGTTATCCTCCAACATAACATTCACACTTACAGAACATTTTTTTAAAAGGTCAGCCCCTTCCCTCCTCCACAAAAACTACCATGTTTAGTGTTAGGATAGCAGAGTGTGAAAACATAGTAATTTTGATTAGAAGCTGCTGAAGCCTGTATTACATACAATAGAAGTCAGTAAATTTAATTTACTGATAAATTATTCAAGTTGCCCACTGATTTGGTTGTGTTGGAAAATAGTGCAGAATAGTGAGAACAGAGGGGCACCCCAAAAAAACTAGTGCTGAGGACCCCATATCCACATTGCATGTGTCTGGGAGGGGATTCCTTCAGGCCAGCTGGTCCCACAGATGGAATGTCCCTTCAAGGGTGAAGAATATCTTTCACTTGACTTTCCATGGAAAGGGATCCATTGTGTGTACCTGTGACATTGTGTAGACCAAAGCAAAAGGAAACAAGTGGTTACAACTGGGAAATTTGCTTCCAAAGCTTATAATGATCTGAACTAAATCCCCAATGCAGGTGCGAATGCAGTGTCAAATTTTTCCATGGTACAGCCAGTAATGCTGTTTGATGTTCTATTTCTACATAGAATCATAGAATGGTTTGGGTTGGAGACCTTTAAAGGTCATCTAGTCCAAGTCCCCTACAGTGAGCAGGGACAGCTTCAACTAGACCAGGTTGCTCAGAGCCCAGTCCAACCTGACCTTGAACGTTTCCAGGGATGGGGCATCTACCACCTCTCTGGGCCACCTGTGCCAGTGTTCACCATCGTCATTGTAAAAAATGTATTCCTTATGTCTAGTTTAAATCTACCCACTAGTTTGAAACCATTACCCCTTGTCCTATTGCTACAGGCCCTGCTAAAAAGCATGAGGCACTATCTTATGCTTCTACCCCACAGCACCACCACCAGTCCTCCCACTGAAGGCTTTGAACCAAATAGGTATAGTGCTCAGCCTGCTTGCAAAAAAGCTGTTAGTTTTTTAGTGTACTGGTCCTGTTAACAACAGTATTTCTTGAAGTCCCTTTCCAACAAAGAATCTGGCAGATGAGCTACTCAATTAGTATGATAAAACAAGTATTTGTTAACTTGAAGGCAAAATGGAGCCAGCAGAACACCATATCAGTGGCTTTCCTTCTCAGATTTTCTTAACACCAACCATTCCATTTCACTTAGCCACATCCATACACGCACAGACTGCAAGATGCCTTGAGAGTAAGTGATATGAACCCTGGAGAGTTAGCAGCCAGAGGACTGCAAGGGAAAGACTTCAGAGTCCCTGGAAGTTTACTAGCTGTGACAACCAGGACTTTGATTTACAACTGCAACACACCCATAATACCAGCAGGTTCAGTGGAACCCATGAGTGACCAGCACCAGACAGGATCAGCAATGTCCAGATGTCTCCATGTGTGAAATGTTTCACAACTGGTAGAAATGCTTCCTCCCATTGCAGGAAGGATGGAGATGCCTGGGATCAGCCATGATACAGTGCCCCTTCTTTTCTCAACCTCTTCAGCATACCCAGTTGTAGCAGTCTCCCATGGTACTTCTCTGGTGCTCCCAAAGCAGGAAGAAACTCGTTTAAAGAGTTTGGATTTGTCCCACTGAACTCCACAGGAAAATTAAACCGCAAGCTTTCTCTGGAGTTCCCTTTTTTAATCTTTTTCTAGAAAACAAGTTCAAAAATATTCCAGAAGAAATATAGTATAAAGAATAAAACATTCACATGTATGTCTCAACATCACAGCAAAAGCTTATAATAAATATAATAAAAATAATAAAATAATAATTTATGAAAGATAGCTCACATTTACAGTTGTGTGCAGTGCCACTTAGTTTTACAGTGGGGCTGCAGCGCTGTCACACTGCAGTCCTTCTCACTGTTTTGGAGTGAGATATTGCTGACTGCAGTGACAGTCCACAGTGGTCAACCAATGTAGAAAAGATCTTTTACAATCATGTCACCATTCCTGAGCCTGCTGTCATCTCTTAATGAAATTTCAGCTATTGATACATCAGGCTGAATAACCTTTGGAAAAAGCCCTTTAGGCTACAATTTCCCAACATCTTAGTAGTTTTCACTGGCATGTGGTAATGCATATATTTCCAGAACTTCTTGTTTGGAGCAGCAGAAACAGAAGACTTCCAGGTAATGACTGGTAAAATCCGAAGAGCTTTCTTCACTACTGGAGGCAAAGTCTCTGGCTCTTGGAAACCCTGGAACTTTATTAATACCAGTTTGATCTTTTTGTCTTCCAACGCACAGTTCACCGCTGCCTGCAGTTCAAAGAGGCTTGGTCCACTGACATAAGCTGGGCTCAAAATAATTATTGCTCGTCTGCTTTGTTTAATAGCTGTGACAACTTCATCTGTGTATGCTGGAGAAGAAATAGCGATCATTACTGCATTCTATAATGGACTTTCTATCTTGTCAGTTCCTTTATCAACAGCTAAAATCCAGAAATAAGGAAAAGTAAAAATAGGGATGTTGAACAATCACATAACCTCTAGAAATGTGTTTCCTATCAGAGGATACCGCAGCCATTCTTACACAGCCTGGTGAACACAGTTTGCTGCTCAGGAGGTGGAAGGCACAGCTGAGACCTCGACACACTTTGTTGCTACTCAAACAGGGTCTCAAGGGACACCTGGACTTGTCTTTGTCACTCCCAGGGACAGGTACTGAGGGCTTTCTGATTAATGCAGGTAGCATTGACTAAAGTTGACTAGAAAGTAATTACTGAAATATTTGGGGCCTTCTTTTCAGAGAGTGGAATCTGCTTGCAAATAAACTCTTGGACAAGAAGGTTTGTCTCAGCCTAGTAGCTCCTAGCAACCACACTCAAACATACATATGCCAGATATAAACGTCAAAACACAATGAGATTTGAGCAGAAACTCCAGTACCAAAACATACCATTTGCTGATCTAAGGTTTTTTGGAAAGTAGAAAACAATTTTGTAAAAAACCTGAAGATTTTCTACCATCCATAGGGACCTTACCTCCTCCTGGAAGAATATCTCTTTCAAGAATGCATAACTTGTATCCATATTCATTTTCCAACATATCTGGAAGAAGCTCCAGGGCAAATTTTTCCTCACTAATTAAAGTAGAGTCGCTTTCAGAAGAGTCTAGTTTTGCATAGGACACAAATGCATCAAATTCTTTGCCATCTAAAATAAATAAATAAGTAACACTGTATACATTAACAAGCCTGTCTGAAACATTCAGATTCTTTCTTAGTGCTCAGTTTCCACTTATATCTATTTATGTAGGCACAACACAAACCTAATATTATCACCTGTTCATGAAGTACAGCCATCCAGTTACCCAAAGGCAACACTTACTCCTCACTGTCTTGCAAATTTTGTAGACATGCAACACCAAAGCAAATGAGGAACCTATAGATGACTAGTGCAAGGAAGTTTAAATCAGGCATTTTTCTGCATTTTCACAAACATGGTCCACTTTTCACCAGTGGAAGATCTGGTCCCTTCCAGGCAAAATCCACCTTGTAGGGAATGATTCCCAATCTTTTCTCTCATTTGCCTAAATGTTGATTCCAAAAATACTCATCAATGTACAACCTACTATGAAAATATAATTAATCTTAAAGGAACAACGTTCTTAAATATTAGCTGCTTGCAAAAGATAAGCTATTTTCATACACTGTTACATTTGTAATTAGAGACTAGTGCAAGTGCAAAGTCTAAGTCTGATCCACCTAACAGCTCAGAAAGCTATTTTCATACACTGTTACATTTGTAATCATAGAGACTACTGCAAGTGTAAAGTTTAAGTCTGATCCACTTATCAACTCAGGCACCAAGTACTGAACAGCTCCTGAACTTTGTGTCAATCTCATTAAAAGCATGTTTGTGAGGTGCAGATGAAAAAAGTATAAAGAAGTTTTCTCAGCTTTGAAACGCTCTGGTACCAATGACCCGAGTTAGACCCATACTTAAATACAACGAAAAAGTAAATCTTATCTATTTGCTGAATAAAATTTGAACTACACTTGAGGAAGGAGGAAGGAAAACAAAAAGAATTTCTGATGAAAGCAATAGGCACAGTGAACAGTCCAGTTCCCCATACGTAGTTGCTTGATGCCGTTTAAGGTGTCCTAATGTTGATGGGACTGCAAGATTTGACATAGGAACTACTGGAGATTCAAATCTTTTGAAATGGCAGGACATCCTCAGGCAGCCCAAGTGACATCAAACA